ACACACACACACACACACACACACACACACACACACACACACACACACACACACACACACACACACTGATGGATATCTTGGGTTTTGATGTGGCAATCCAGGTTTTAAACAGAACCTTTCTTATCTCCTGAGTCTGTGCCTCACTTATTTTTCAAGTTAATCAGCTCACAAGCTGGAGAGAAGAGTGGATATGCAGAGTATTTCCAAGGGAACAAGAAAGGATGGATGGATGGATGGATGGATGGATGGATGGATGGATGGATGGATGGATGGATGGATGGATGGCTGGATGGATGGATGGATGGATGGATGGATGGCTGGATGGATGGATGGATGGCTGGATGGTCATCCTACTGAACCACCTGTGAACTTTGATCTTTTTGAAGGTTTAGTGCGTGTGGGCAGGCTCAGGTTAGTTAAGCCCAACCACAACTTGATGTTTAAAACAAACTGAAAAATTTTTTTTATCCTAACATACAACATACCTGTATGAATGAGTTGTTTTTGTTTAAGAGTTCATCAACAAATAATTTCCTGAATGAATTACAATATTTTCATTCCTGCTTGTGTTTGGATATTACCTTTGACTGCCATCAGTAACAGTAGGTTCCATTGTGATGTTCTCCTCCTTCGCATTAAAAAGAGGTCGTAGAGAGCCATACCATGTGTTGACCAAGGTGAGCCTATAGAAGCCTGCATTATCAACACAACAATCAAATGATTTTGTTCCTCTTTTCAGCTTTTGTCAATCACAGCAAGCAGTACCAAGAAACATCGTTCTCAGTGAGGAGCTGTGAGGAAACTTGACAATGCTCRTCCTCCGCACTTTCCTGTGAGACCTTGAGAGTGCAAGTAACTGAACATCTACAGCACTGTTGTTCATTGTTCTTTGCATTTACTTAACACAAAATATTAGCAGYATAAGCAAATATGAGAATGTGATTTTCTTTTGTAACAGCCATTTTTACCATTGTTTTGGAGATCCTGTATCTTCTGATGTGGTACTGTGATGCAGTCTAGACTAGAGTGTTTTTCTGTCCTAGGTCCACAGAAGCTCAATATTTTAAATCCTTCCTCCAGCTTCTGGTGTTGTACCTCAAGTTCTGAAAAATGCAACACAAAACAATATTTAAGAGCTAATTTTCAATCTTATTCAGGATTTTAAGAGTTAGTATAAATCTTTGTAACACAACAAGTAAAATTATCAGAAAATTCACAATCATGTTGARGCAAAATATCCTTGTGGAAATGTGTTCGCAATCTAAAGAAACCCTTTTTAACCTTTTTCTTGTACTTATTGAATCAAAATAGATCATTTTAATTTATAATTCTATTTGCTTCCCACTTTACCCTCACCTGACACTTTCTATGAGTGAACTGCCTAACAATGTCAACAACACATTTAATCTTAACAAGAAGTAAAAATCCAAAGCAAATTATGTTGTTTCTATCAACTTTATCATGCTTCTGCAGAAACATGTTGGCAAAAAGAAAGTACTAGCTGCAGTCAATCTTGTTCACATAAGACAAATCAAATTAAAAGACTTTTTAGAACATTCAAATCCACTTTATAAATGAAAGGCCTAGAATTTCTTGAAGGAATTCATAGTCTCTGCTCCATTCCATGCCAGTTTTACAACAAAAACTAAGACAGGCTTATGTTGAGAAATAGCAAAGTAGTAGATGTCTTGGTTAAACCTTCAAAATAGCTTTAGGCCAATTGGTTCATTGGAAACAAATTGGGTCAGGTAAACCAGGATCATGAAAAGACCCAAAGACCTGATGGCATCACATCTTATAATCTGCATCCCCGGAATCAAAACCAAACARGAGAGGCAACATTCAGTTTTTCTTCTTCACTAAACTGGAACAAACTCCCAGAAAACTAT